CATGGGAGCCACCTCATGGGAGCCACTTCATGTGAGCCACTTCATGTGAGCCACTTCATGTGAGCCACTTCATGTGAGCCACTTCATGTGAGCCACTTCATATTAGCCCCTTAATGGGAGCAACTTATTGTGAGCCACTTCATGTGATCCACCTCATGGGAGCCACTTCATGTGAGCCCCTTAATGAAAGTCACTTCATGTGAGCCACTTCATGTGAGCCACTTCATGTGAGCCACTTCATGTGAGCCACTTCATGTGAGCCACTTCATGTTGCTACTTCATGTGAGATACTTCATGTGAGCAACTTCATGGGGGCCACTTCATGGGAGCCCATTACCACCTTGATGCTTGAGCCAAAGGTATTTTCTACATGATCCTTCCTATGCGAGTTCCGTCACAGTAACATGCCATTAAAGAAACACACTTTTGTTATTACTAAGAGGCTGACACAACTAAGAACTTCTTTGTTCAGGATTTATTGATTTAGGTAAGTGGTTCTCAAACTGCGGTCAGTGATAGTATCTTACAGTTAAAACCGCGATGCTATGTTAAAAGGGGATCAGGACTTTGTTCTAGTTATTTCGGTACTATTATCTTGGAGTCACCAAACTATTAGTAATGAAGCAGAGGTTCTCATACTATTGAATATTAAGAAAATCAGAGCTTGTTGTTATTTAAGCTGTATGCTGCTTGCAACCAACCTGTTCTTATCTTTACAAACTGTCACAAAATGCAGAAACGCTCGAGCCATCATAAGACACTTCAAATTACAAAGTCTATAGCACTAAGTAAAAACATCCTTCTTAAATTAGCATCGCATTCTTAAATTAGAATTTCATTCTTAAATTAGCACCCTCTTCTTGAAATTTACACCTCCTTCTAAGATAAGCACTCTCTCCTTAAGTTACAACCCCCTTCATAAATGAGAACCTCTTTCTTAATTAGAAGTTCCTTCATAATTGAACACCACCTTCATAATTGAGCACCACCTTCATAATTGAGCACCACCTTCATATTTGAGAACCACCTTCATAATTGAGCACCACCTTCATAATTGAGCACCTCTTGCTTAAATTAGCAGCTTCTTCTTAAGTAAGCCCCTAATTATTAATCAAGCACCTCATTCTGAAAATTAGCACACCTTCTTAGTTGAGCATCTCCTTTATAAAGTAGCACCACCTCCTTAAATGAGCACCCCTTCATAAATTAGCATCTCCTTCTTAAATAACACCTCCTTCTTAAATAGCACCTCCTTCTTAATTATAACTTCCTTCATAGTTGAGCACCTCCTTCTTAAATTAGCACCTACTTCATAAATGAGCACCCCTTTCTTAAGTTTTCACCTTCTTTTTAAATAACACCTCCTTCTTAATTAGAATTTCCTTTATAATTGAGCACCTCCTTCATAATTGAGCACCACCTTCTTAATTAAGCACCTCGTACGCACCTTCATCTTAACTTAGAGCTCACAAACTATTTTTAAACTTTGCACGCTCAAAGCTCAAAAACTATGTTTAAACTTTCCACAGCTCAAAGCTCACAAACTAGTCTTAGAATACCTGGACTTGAATATCCCTAGTCTTGAAATAGCTAGACCACATTGCTAGTTTTAGAATTTCAAGTCTTGAATATCTATAGTCTAGAAATAGCGAGACCACATTGCTAGTTTTAGAATTTCAGGTCTTGAATATCTAAAGTCTTGAAATAGCTAGACCACATTGCTAGTTTTAGAATTTCAGGTCTTTAATATCCATAGTCTTGAAATGGCTAGGCGACATTGCTAGTTTTAGAATTTCAAGAATTTATTATCTATAGTTTTGAAATAGCTAGACCACATTGCTAGTTTTAGAATTTCAAGACATGAATATCTACAGGCTTGAAATAGCTAGGCCACATAGCTAGAATAGAATTTCAAGACTTGAAAATCCATAGTCTTGAAATAGCTAGGCATAAATTGCTAGGTTTAGAATTTCAAGATTTGAATATCTAAAGTCTTGAAATAGCTAGACCACATTGATAGTTTTAGAATTTCAAGTCTTTAATATCCATAGTCTTGAAATGGCTAGGCGACATTGCTAGTTTTAGAATTTCAAGAATTTATTATCTATAGTTTTGAAATAGCTAGACCACATTGCTAGTTTTAGAACCAAGCCTTGAATATCTATAGTCTTGAAATAGCTAGGCCACATAGTTAGATTTAGAATTTCAAGACGTGAATACCCATAGTCTTGAATTAGCCAGATGCTGTCTCGTGTCATTTATATATATTTAAATAGAAGCTATTGTGTAGACTGACCAGGGCAGCCAGGGAGTATTTGATCACAATGCGGCAGAATAATTTTTATGGTTCAAATATGAGTTGTAGCTTGTGGACCAAATGTTACGCCGTAACAAACTTGTCTGTTACGAACTGTGAACTAGTTAATTGCATAAGCAGTTCGATAGCTTCGCAACGCTAAAGAGTAATTATTCAAGAAATCAGTGATCTATATGACATATGGTTCTTTATATGACATATGGCTCTTTATATGACCTATGGTTCTTTATATGACATATGCTTCTTTATATGACATATGCTTCTTTATATAACATATGCTTCTTTATATGATATATGCTTCAATATATGACATATGTTTTTAGTTATGACATACCTTTTTGTATGACATATGGTTCTTTATATGACATATGGTTCTTTATATGACTTATGGTTATTTATATGACATATGGTTCTTTATATGATATATGGTTCTTTATTGAAAAAAAGTGTTTCTTCTTTCATCCGCTTGCTCTCTGCGACTCCCTAAAGACTGAAACCGAAAAAACGAACAACGTCATCTCCCACAACCTAATACGTCACGAATACAAAGCACAAAGAAACATATCCTTAATTTAAGTATTGAAATACAACACTCTTCTAGTTTCAGTTTACTAACTTCATATAACACTGTTCTATTTCTTAGTTTACTAACTTTATTAAACACTGTTCTAGTTTTGGTATACTAGCTTTATTTAACACTGTTCTATTTTTAGTTCACGAACTTTATTCAAAAAATACTCTTGTTTTAGTTTACTACATTTCTCAAACACTGTTCTAGTTTTAGTTCACTAAATTTATTAAACCCCGTTCTAGTTTACTAAATTCATTCTAGTATTAGTTCCCTATCTTTATTACACACTGTTCTAGTATTAATTCCATAACTTTATTAAATTAAACATTGAAGTTGTTTTCCTTGAGTGCGTTCAACTGTTATCTTGAAAATGAAACTGAAGTTTACTACTGTAAAAGAATCCGATGGTCTGGTGATAGTCTGGTGATAGTCTGGTGATAGTCTGGTGATAGTCTGGTGATTGGTGATAGTCTGGCGATAGTCTGGTGATAGTCTGGTGAGCATGAAATCAAAGCAACTCACATTGAGATGTTCACATGTTTGTTATGATACTGTAGAGCTTTGTCTTGATGATGTCCATGGTTCAAAATACTGACTCAACTTTATAAAAATAATGATAATTCCCGCTTATAAAGTAGAGTATAAAGATCTAGGCGTGCTGTGGAAATCTGGGAGGAGTCTAGGTCTGACATTGAAATCTGGGAGGAGTCTAGGTCTGACGTAGATATCTGGGAGGAGTCTTGGTGTGCCGTAGAAATCGTGGGGGGGGGGGGAGGAGGAGGTTCTTGGTGTGCCACGAGGAAAGAAAGGTTGTGGAGCACTGCTTTAAATAAATATTTGGTACAGTTATGCCACTGTGGTTTTAATAATGATCTACCATACTCTATCAGGACATTTCTACACCACACCCTGCCAGTACATTTTAGCCAGTCTTTGGATCAAGCATCAAGAATCCACTGCAAATCTGCGGCTCCAGGAGCGTCTTCAAATGGGTACAGGGCGACTGAAAATGGGGAGGGGGGCAGGGGCATCTACACTCAACTATAGCAGGTAACATTTCAGGAAAAGAAGAGCAAAACTTTTGCATAAAATAATTTCAGCTAGATTCAGAGTTCAGATTTAATCAAAAAGTTTTGCACCTAACGAACTATATGGAGTTTAGAGTGGGGGGGGGGGAAATATGAGTGAATTTCAAGAATTTTGTCTAAATAAAAATTTAAGGTTACAAAAATTCATTAAAAAAAATAATTTTTCAGAATTCAATAATTTCTGTGTCTAAAACGTGAAAATTCTTGAGTTATTAGCGAAATTATAATTTGTTGTTCGTCCGTCGAGGATCGACTATGACCATCGAGTCGTCCGGTGACTGATGACTTGCGCTAGTGACTTTTGTTAAAGTGAGGAAAAGTTGCGCGGCGTCAACCTCACTCTCTCGTCCGGGCCCACCATGTCCAGTTGCAAGACTCTACGTCAAGAAGACCAGGGATGGGTACGGTTGCAGGAATTGTCATTGTATGCGCCTTACGGGACTCCAACTCCGGGTTTGAATTCAGAGTTTCCTTCTCTTAGAGTCTCATCCACCCGGGGTGATGTTTTTGCTTGACCGGCCTTTGCTCAGTTTAGACCATTCGGCCACCAAGTAACCCATGCAGTGAATGACCATGGCGTTCTACGTGTCTGGCCATGCTCTCAGTGTGTAGGAGCTTCAGTAAAGCAAGGGAGATAGTTAAACATGATGATTGGAAATTGGATTTAGCGCAAGAAAATTCGAACTTTTCATTAATTTGAATTGTTTTGCGGTTTCATTCAGGATCAGAATTTATGCTGTTATCAACGTATTTCTCCTTCTAAATACAACTACAATATAGATCTACTGTTAGGCTGAATAGGAAGAAGCCCTCTTGTTCGGAAGCAGCCGGAAGTCTCTGTACTCAGCTCTCACCTGTGGTTCCAAGAAGCTGTAACATGCACAGCGATTACAACCCAGTCCAGACAACGATTCCAGGTTGAGGGTAGCCGAAAGGCATAGAACTTTCCAAAAGAAGGTTTTTTTCCCCCATAACATGTAAAGACTAAATCCGGCAAATTGTGCGGAAGAACCACTACCTGGTCAACGGACACAATGCGGAGACAGCACAGTGGTGTCAGCAAAATTATAATAGCTTGTTATCAACTATAGTATGTCAATAATGTTTTAATAAATATTTAAATGATAAATTATTTTTGTATTACTTATATTCTTGGTTAACACCCGAATTAAACACCAGTATCATGACTGACACGATGAACACACAGAATTGACCAAGTTCAAGGTGTTGTGAGGAGACAAGGTGTTTTTTTTAAAAATCGGGAATTGTAAATACTTTTGACAGATTCTACCGAAGACCTCTTTATCAAGAAAAACTGAAAAATGTCATATCCATATATGTGTTGTGTAAATGTCTGCCATGTAGTGTAAAGATCTCATTTAATTAGAACACAAGACTTAACCGGAAATGTGATGCATCATGTCATGAACAGCTCTCATCTGTGGCCCAGAATGGAATGCTGAAAAGGAATAACACAAACAAATTAAATGTTGGATGAAAAATATAAAAGAGAGAAAATATTTTAGTTCAAGATTTCAAAAAAAAAAAAAATGTTTAACAATAAAATAAAAACAATTTCCTTTTGGTTCCCCGAAGAGACTTAAAGACCACGTGTCGATGCCGTCTGTGCCTCGAGCCACAAACATGGCGCCGACCCTGATGACATCAAGTCGGAAGAACGTATCTGCCAACTTTAAAGGAGGTTAGCGTACAATAAAAACACTCCATACACTATTCGCAGTTGTCTTTGTTCATCAATGTGACAGATAACATGTCAATCACATTCCCATGGCAGTTTCCATTCATTAAAATTGTAGACAGCACGCCCATCACGTGACCACGGCAGTTTGCGCTATTTAATGAAATGAGTCATCGTTCTAGAATGTTCGAAGTTCTTTTCTGTTCTTTTATGACGTTCTCTTGACATCTCGTAAGGTGAAATGTTGTTTATAGAGTTTCTTAAAAAGTTGTAAAATAGGGATACAACATAATCCAAAGGATTACACTCCCTTGTAAAGACTTTTTCACATTTAAATCTTTAAGTTTATACTGAGACTATGCCACACTTATATCTTGAAGTCTATATAGAGACTATACCACATTTATATCTTAAAGTCTATTTTGAGATTATGCCACACTTATATCTTAAAGTCTATATTGAGACTATGCCCTATTTATATTTGAAATCTATACCGAGACTATGCCACATTTATATCTTAAAGTCTATATTGAAACTATGTCACATTTATACCTTAAAATCTATATTGAGCCTATGCCACATTTTATCTTGAATTCTATATTGAGACTATGCCCCATTTATAGTTTGAAATCAATACTGAAACTATGCCACATCTTAAAGTCTATATTGAGACTACGCCAAATTTATACCTTAAAGTATATATTGAGCCTATGTCACATTAATATCTTAAAGTCTATACTGAGACAATGCCACATTTATATCTTGAAGTCTATATTGTGTCTATCCCACATTTATAGTTTGAAATCTATACTGAGACTATGCCACATTTAAATCTTAAAGGCTATATTGAGACTACGCCACATGTATATCTTAAAGTCTATACTGAGACAATGCCACATTTATATCTTGAAGTCTATAATGTGTCTATGCCACATTTATGCCTTGAAGTCTATCTTGTGTCTATGCCACATTCACATACGAACCAACCCAAACTTACCGTAGTAAATACCGGTATAACCGAACCAATCCCAGCATCCCATAGGATTCAGTGACGACACCAAGACTTGTGGGTACAAAATGATGATGTCATTGAGCTCTCCAACCTCGTTGTAGCCTGAGTGTTTCACGTAAACGTCACCAATGCGCTCTCTACAAAACAAGATGACCAGGCAACACGTCATCAAAGCAATGATGAAGAAAACGAAATGAAAACTAAAGTAGTTTGACTGTAAAAAGTCACTTTGACACTTCGTTTTGATGAGAGCTATTGTGGTGCTCTGACTTTGTTTAAATGACAGCTATTGTGGTGCTCTGAATTTGTTTTAATGACAGCTATTGTGGTGCTCTGACTTTGTTTAAATGACAGCTATTGTGGTGCTCTGACTTTGTTTTAATGACAGCTATTGTGGTGCTCTGACTTTGTTTTAATGACAGCTATTGTGGTGCTCTGACTTTGTTTTAATGACAGCTATTGTGGTGCTCTGACTTTGTTTTAATGACAGCTATTGTGGTGCTCTGACTTTGTTTTAATGACAGCTATTGTGGTGCTCTGACTTTGTTTTAATGACAGCTATTGTGGTGCTCTGACTTTGTTTTAATGACAGCTATTGTGGTGCTCTGACTTTGTTTTAATGACAGCTATTGTGGTGCTCTGACTTTGTTTTAATGACAGCTATTGTGGTGCTCTGACTTTGTTTTAATGACAGCTATTGTGGTGCTCTGACTTTGTTTTAATGACAGCTATTGTGGTGCTCTGACTTTGTTTTAATGACAGCTATTGTGGTGCTCTGACTTTGTTTTAATGACAGCTATTGTGGTGCTCTGACTTTGTTTTAATGACAGCTATTGTGGTGCTCTGACTTTGTTTTAATGACAGCTATTGTGGTGCTCTGACTTTGTTTTAATGACAGCTATTGTGGTGCTCTGACTTTGTTTTAATGACAGCTATTGTGGTGCTCTGACTTTGTTTTAATGACAGCTATTGTGGTGCTCTGACTTTGTTTTAATGACAGCTATTGTGGTGCTCTGACTTTGTTTTAATGACAGCTATTGTGGTGCTCTGACTTTGTTTTAATGACAGCTATTGTGGTGCTCTGACTTTGTTTTAATGACAGCTATTGTGGTGCTCTGACTTTGTTTTAATGACAGCTATTGTGGTGCTCTGACTTTGTTTTAATGACAGCTATTGTGGTGCTCTGACTTTGTTTTAATGACAGCTATTGTGGTGCTCTGACTTTGTTTTAATGACAGCTATTGTGGTGCTCTGACTTTGTTTTAATGACAGCTATTGTGGTGCTCTGACTTTGTTTTAATGACAGCTATTGTGGTGCTCTGACTTTGTTTTAATGACAGCTATTGTGGTGCTCTGACTTTGTTTTAATGACAGCTATTGTGGTGCTCTGACTTTGTTTTAATGACAGCTATTGTGGTGCTCTGACTTTGTTTTAATGACAGCTATTGTGGTGCTCTGAATTTGTTTTAATGACAGCTATTGTGGTGCTCTGACTTTGTTTTAATGACAGCTATTGTGGTGCTCTGACTTTGTTTTGATATGAGCTCTTGTTTTGCTCATCTAGGACATTGTTTAAAAAAATCTGGTGCACCCATTTTTTTATTTGGTTTACCCCCCAAAGAAATATGACGCAATCTTTTATGCTCAAAGCTAGTATTCAAAAGATGAGACAGATGTTTACCTGCCCATTTGACATCCATGGAAGGCGATGTGCAGTCTGCAAGCTGTTGATTAGATCAATTGGCATGGAAATAATGAATAGTGTGTAGTTCTGATCTTAGTTTGTAAGTGAGATCTTAGTTTGTAAGTGAGATCTTAGTTTTTAAGTCAGATCTTCGTTTGTAAGTCAGAGCTTAGTTTGTAAGTCAAATTTTAGTTAGAAAGTCAGGACTTTGCAAGTCAGATATTAGTTTGTAAGTCAGATCTTAGTAAGTCAGATTTTAGTTCGTAAGTGAAATCTTAGTCTGTAAATCAGATCTTAGTTTGTAAGTCAGATCTTAGTTTGTAAGTCAGATCTTAGCATCCCATTTTAATAAAAATTTTAATGCTATTTGTGAAACATTAGATAACTAGTCTTGTCTTTACAGCCAATTGGTATTTAGATTTCTTTAGTTTGGTAATCCAGGTTAACTTACCTTTAGTTTTGTCCTTACAGCCAGTGGGGACATAGACGTAAGCTATGTTGTCCATGTGTCCCAGGTAAGACGTGTAAGCACTTTGGTCGAATTGGAGTAACTGAAAAAAGAATCAATATTTCATTTAATAATGCATCTGCTGACCCCGTCTTTTGTAACTGATCCCGTCTCTTGTAACTGATCCCGGCTATTGTAGCTGATCCCGGCTATGATAGTTAACCCCGTCTCTTGTTGCCGACCCCGTCTCTTGTAACTGACCCCTTACCTTGTAACTGATCCCGGCTCTTGTAGCTGACCCCCTTCCCTTGTAACTGACCCCGTCTCTTGTTGCTGACCCCTTCCCTTGTAACTGATCCCGGCTCTTGTAGCTGACCCCTTCCCTTGTAACTGATCCCGGCTCTTGTAACTGACCCCTTCCCTTGTAACTGATCCCGGCTCTTAGAACTGATCCCGGCTCTTGTAACTGACCCCTTTCCTTGTAACTGATCCCGTCTCTTGTAGCTGACCCCTTCCCTTGTAACTGATCCCGTCTCTTGTTGCGACCCCGTCTCTTGTAACTGACCCCTTCCCTTGTAACTGATCCCGGCTCTTGTAACCGACCCCTTCCCTTGTAACTGATCCCGTCTCTTGTAGCTGACCCCTTCCCTTTTAACTGATCCCGTCTCTTGTAGCTGAACCGGTCTCTTGTTGCCGACCCCGTCTCTTGTAACTGATCCCGTCTCTTGTTGCCGACCCCGTCTCTTGTAACTGATCCTGGCTCTTAGAACTCATCCCGGCTCTTGTAGCTGACCCCGTCCCTTGGAGTCGACCCCATCTCTTGCATATCGATGAGCTGAGTTACTCCGATATAAAAGTCATCAACTTTTTGTATTGCTCGTGCAGGTTTAACCTACCTCTCAGTTTACCCAACCTCTTAGGTTTCTCCAACCTCTTAGGTTTACCCAAACTCTTAGATTTCCCCAACCTCTTAGGTTTACCCAAACTCTTAGGTTTTCCCAACCTCTTAGGTTTACTCAAACTCTTAGGTTTCCCCAACCTCTTAGGTTTCCCCACCATCTTAGGTTTACCCAACTTCTTAGGTTCCCCAACTTCTTAGGTTCCCCAACTTCTTAGGTTCCCCAACTTCTTAGGTTCCCCAACTTCTTAGGTTCCCCAACTTCTTAGGTTCCCCAACTTCTTAGGTTCCCCAACTTCTTAGGTTCCCCAACTTCTTTTGTTCTCCACCTTGAGAAATGATTTGACGAAGTGTCACGTCTCTCTAGCAGTACTACCGTATTATACAATGGAAACAAAAATGAAATCAAATATTGGATGAAACATGGACTTCTATTTTTCTTTTAATAGAATTTCAAAGCGAACCGTTGACTGTAGAATATTGGCAATAAACGTGTGACTCCAGATAGACTGTAGAGAATTGGCAATAAACGTGTGACTCCAGATAGACTGTAGAGTATTGGCAATAAACGTGTGACTCCAGATAGACTGTAGAGTATTGGCAATAAACGTGTGACTCCAGATAGACTGTAGAGTATTGGCAATAAACGTGTGACTCCAGATAGACTGTAGAGTATTGGCAATAAACGTGTGACTCCAGATAGACTGTAGAGTATTAGCAATAAACGTGTGACTCCAGATAGACTGTAGAGTATTGGCAATAAACGTGTGACTCCAGATAGACTGTAAAGTATTGGCAATAAACGTGTGACTCCAGATAGACTGCAGAATATTGAAAATAAACGTGTGACTCCAGATAGACTGCAGAATATTGACAATAAACGTGTGACTCCAGATAGACTGTAGAGTATTGGCAATAAACGTGTGACTCCAGATAGACTGTAGAGTATTGGCAATAAACGTGTGACTCCAGATTCATGGCATGACTTTAAGTCAATGACTCCGTTGTTTTTTTTTTTGCACTCCGTGAACTCGCACCACCTCGTATATCCGAACTACAACATTCTGATATCCGAACTACATATGTCTCTTAAAATCTATATTATTGCGAGCAATTCGCACCAATGAAAGGGAACATTGGGGGTACAAATAACCCCTACGACCCCATACTGACCACTGCGACCCCTGACGCACATTCAGATAAAAGCTAGATATGTATTGCATATTTCAGACTTTAATCAGCTGACCCAGAACCACGGTTGATATAAACTACATATTACACTGTCGAACCAAACACCTATTATTTAATGGGTATTATGAGTGGATGGACACAAAAAGAAGTCCTTCGGATTGCGCTCTCTTAAAGCAATAACGCTTAAGTTATGGAACAGTTTGCCTCAGTCTTTGAGAGAATTTAAAAATGATAAAATATCATTTAAGAACTAAGAGTTCATGACATCAGAGCGCTGTGAGCGTGTTAGAATAGTAATCAATCAATCAATCATTCATTCATCAGCTTGTTTACTTTACGTGGCCGTTGGAGTGTTAGCTTATCCAAAAAATAGGTTTTCTGAAACATCACTGCACCCAATGAGTTCGGATAATCGGCGCTCTACTATATTGAAGTGTGCTGGGTGGCCAAGTGGACTAAACTGAGCAAATCTCAAGTTGGTGGTCTGGAGTTCAATTCCAGCCAGAGCTCAGTCAAGCAAAAACACCACCAGCATCCCGGGTGGATGGGATTCGTTAGCCTTGGACGGCAACTCATCAAAGAGAAGGAAACCCTGAAATCAAACCCGGAAATGGAGACCCGAAAGGCGGATAACATTGATACAATGAAACATTCCAACAACTCCTGCGACGTCACTGTTGCCAAGCTGTATCATCCAATGATGTTCCCTTGGGCTATCCAGCGGCCTGGAGAGAGGCGATTTGCTGTTGGGAACCAGCTTATAATCCTTGAAGAATACTCCCATGTGGATTTCGTCCTCCGAAGCCCACTCCATCGTCACATCGTCACACGGATGCCAGCAAAAAACAAAACAAAAAAACAAAAACCAACTATATTAAAGCCTGCCTGCCTGTCCTTGAAATGCTACCGTGTATTTCACAAGTAAGAATACATTTGGATTTAAATTGGGCCAAAGATGCCAACGACAAAAATAGTTTTAAGTTGATGAAGTCTCCGACTAATCTATCATTAATGAAGAGTTGATGATTTCTGTAATACTTACTTCCCCTGTTGCTATGTAGGTGGCGCTTGGTTCCTAAAATGAAAACAAAACAAAAATATTTGTAAAAAATCTTAACAACAGTCGCAGAGATACAACATTTTGTTGAAAGAAAAGACGCACAAATATATTAATTAAATTACACAAGTATGCCGTGAACTACGCCAGATATTTAAATAAAATATTTACGTTTTTTTAGTTTCTGTTGATGATTGGTTATTATATATATATCAGTGCTCCTCAATCTTTTTTCGCCCAAGACATACATGGGCCCTTCCCAGAGGTCCCCAGCACACACCAAGTAAAAACATACGTATTTTTTTTTCATCGGCTTCAATATTGAACTGCATATCAAATATTATTAGAACAATTTCGAAGAGTGGAAGAATCGTCATGGTTCTTTTTGAAATGCTAGGAAATAATTCTTTGACTGAAACACGGAGAAAATTAAATCGAGCTGTGGCAAACGTGAATTCCACAACAACTGATGGGACATTTGCTTTGTGAAGATTTGGCGATGTTGTTCCAAAGCTGAGTGGGATCCATTTTCACTGATATTTATGAAATGTTTAAGAAATGTTGGTTAAGTTTCTTTTGGAGCAATATATGGGATGTCCAACAAAAACCAACCAATTCTACTTTCTAATGATCGCTTGTGTGAGTTTCTAATAGGGTCCGTTTGATGTATCAAGACATGCTATGACATTCTCATCCCTGGTTTTTATGTGTTTATTCAGATGTTCACACAGGTAGCCACCTACAGCCAAGCTATAAACTTTGAGGTGCTGGTATGGTTCAGGTATGATTAGATTAAAATGTAATATTTAAAATGTAACATTGTGACAGATTTACTTGTGGCAGCTCACATATGTCTTTGTCAAATAATTTATTCGACCTGCCTGTCAACACTGGTTATTTAAAATTTCCAGAATTAATAAATTTTCTTTATTTAGAAAATATAAAATTTCTACACAATAGTTCATTTTTTTGTGTAGTCCTTCATCAGCAATGTATTTTGATCAATAGGTCTTCCTGTTGAACGCAGTCATGTTTTAATTTGATTGTTGTAGTCGAGTGTTGTACGAATGGCACAAATCATCTTTTATCGGGTCTCACCTACCTTTCCCAATCTCCGTGTAAATGCAAACACGTCAATGACAATTACTCATTTGTATGTCATAAGTTTCGAAAAAAAAAGGTCATGATTCCATACAAACTCATTTAATAAATGTTTACCAAATAAGATTTTTTCTGACTTGTAATTTATCATGCAACAACGTAACTAGCGCGCGACACAGTGTCACACTATGTCACACAGTGTCACACTATGTCACACAGTGTCACACTATCTCATTCCTGCGTTGGCTTAACATTGCGACTTAAAATTGGCTGGTAAATTTAACAGAACTTTTGGGTGCAATAGTGTTGATGTTATGACCTATGACCTATGACCTATAAAGTTGATTTGGAATATTTTGTAACTCGCCTATTGAAAGCGCACATTTTCTGTAATACAAACGACATGTAACATTCGCCAGTTTGATAATAAGTTTGTCACTGTTTTTTTTAAAATGGCCATTCTTTTACCATATTTACGCGGCACACTACTACCATCGCCTCGTGGCACACCCCTAACATAATCTCGCGGAAAATCACTACCATCGCCTCGCGGCACACCACTACCATCATCTTGTGGCACACCACTACCATCATCTTGTGGCACACCACTACTATCGTGTCGTGGCACACACTATCATCGTCTTGTGGCACATCACTACTATCGTGTCGTGGCACACACTATCATCGTCTTGTGGCACACACTATCATCGTCTTGTGGAACACACTATCATCGTCTTGTGGCACATCACTACTATCGTGTCGTGGCACACCCTCTCATCGTCTTGTGGCACACACTATCATCGTCTTGTGGCACACACTATCATCGTCTTGTGGTTCACACTATCATCGTCTTGTGGCACACACTATCATCGTCTTGTGGTTCACACTATCATCGTCTTGTGGCACATCACTACTATCGTGTCGTGGCACACATTAACATTGTCTCGCGGCACACCGATTGCGGAGCTCATATAGATATTATCCTAGGTTGACTTTGTTATTGTATGTTGCTATACAAAACAAAAACAACAACAAGAAGTCATAATATAAAAGAAAACAAGAGCACAACAGGAAGGATATCTGAAATTTCGACCAAAATTAATTGGAGGAAATAGCACGATCTATGTCAAATACACCAAAGACTTGGGCCAGGTCCAGATAGTTTGTCCTCGGATAAGATACGTATGTTTCCTTTCAACAACATTGCGTCGGCTAATCTCCTTTATCATTAAACAAAGGGTAACTTCCGGCTGCGACAAGATGGTGGTATAATAACAACAAGAACTTAAAGCATTAAGCCTGAACAGTAGAGATCTATCTGTAAATTGAATGTTACAAATATCCGATATCTAAGATAAAACTTATATTAGCGCATCAGCTAAGTGTACAGGAAGAGGTAGCACCACTGATGGGGGAAGAGGTAGCACCACTGATGGGGGAAGAGGTAGCACCACTGATGGGGGAAGAGGTAGCACCACTGATGGGGGAAGAGGTAGCACCACTGATGGGGGAACACATTGTGCTCCTAGGAGCAGTTCTTCCGCCTTTGTATTGTCCTGTCATCCAACTTTCACCTGTGGCTCCCCGTAGCGGCTAGCATGCAACAGCAGCCATACCCTGGGCAACGGCTTCCATTGGCCGGGTAAACCAGGTGTGGGTAGCTGATGGTCCTCAAACCCTCAGTGATTTAGGACTGCCTACCTACTGCATGCGAAGCCTGGACGTTGACGGATCTTGCGGAGGAGACCATCTAGGTTAAACGGGGATGAAGGCAATTACGGCAACGCACCGTGGAGTGTGTAGAGCAAGATGAGGCACGTAATACATCTTGGTCATCCACTGCATCCGTACCTATCTCTGGACGTCGTGACGTCTCGTCCCTAACCCTAACCCTAACCCTAACCCTAACCCTAACCGCAGCGCAACTCTTCCTCACTTTAAACAAAGTCATCCACGCAAGTCACCAGTCATCCAAAACCAATCATCGGCAGTCCTGTGGCGACGGGTAAGTGACGAAGAGACAGGTGTGGTGCACTGGGGGTCGTAGCCACACGCCTGCACACCGGCGACGCGGGCTATAGGGTCGCTCTTCACTGATCGGAGCAGAAGTGGAGTTCGGCAGCCACCTGAGTGTCTGAGCACCCATATTCAGGACAGCACTTCTCCCCTCCATGCATGAGGAAAGGGATGGAAAACGTGCCCAAAACATTTCCTGCTCGTTCACACCCTGGCCGACTAATCACGGTCGGCAGGGATCCGATTTAGCTGTTGAAAAAAACATAGATAAACTGTCACTCCTCCACACAAAATGCTGACTGTCATCTCCTCCACAACGACTGCTGACAAAGTAATCCTTGGAGATTTCAATGCACGTGTTGGCAGTGACTGCACCTCCAAGTGATGGGGAAGTATGGTGTTGGAAATGCAAAGGCCTACTGCTACTTCAGACCTATAATGAACACAACCTTCTAATAACAAATACCATCTTCAGCCTACCTATTACGCGCAACAGGACTTTCTCGATGCACCCCCGTTCAAAACACTGACATCTTATAGATCATGTCATCATCAGAAACAGTGACCAGCTGGACGTGAGGGTGAATAAGGCCATGTACGGCGCAGAATGCTGGATGGACCACCACCTCATCGTTTCAAAGTTGAAAATCCACATCCAACCTAATAGACGACCTCAGGCCACCAAATTTCCGAAACGCCTCAACATCAGTATGCTGAAGATCCCTGTTGTGAGACAAACCTTTGTTGAAACCCTGGATGAACGGCTTGATACCATCACACTGGACAACCAGGATGCGGAAACAGCGTGGATCACACTTCGTGAGACAGTGTATAGCACAGGACCTCGGGTCCTCTACCAGGAAAAACCGGGATTGGTTTGATGAAAACAACTCAGAGATCCAAATGCTACTTGAGCAAATACTTCTGGCGTAAAAGGTCCTCCATGATGACCTAATGTCAACAGCGAAGACAGCAGCTCTGAAGAGCATCCGCAGCTGGATCCAGTTGCAGCTGCGCCAGATGCAAGACTCCTGGCTAAGTACGAAAGCTGATGAGATTCAGGGCTTTGGAGACAAGAAAGACACGAAAAGCTTCTACAGTGGCCTGAGAGAAGTCTATGGCGTTACCACCTCAGGCTCTTCCCCTCTCCTTAGTGCAGACAGTTGTACACTCATCACAGACAAAGGCTCTTCCCCTCTCCTTAGTGCAGACGGTTCTACCCCCATCACAGAAAAGGAGAACATCTTAGAAAGATTGGCGGACATTTGATAATGTGCTGAATACGCCTTCCCTCATTAATGATATCATTGAAAGACTGCCTTATGTCCCAACGAACAAATAAATGGACACTGTCCAACTTTGGTCGAGATACAGACAGCCATCTGACAAATGTCCAATGGTAAAGGTCCTGGCCCCGACATGAATCCTTCCAAAATCGACATAGAGGGTGGACCAATGCTGACGGATAAGCTATTGCGTCTATTCCAGATCATCTGGCAGACGGAAACTGTAACACATGACCTCAAACACGCCTCAGTTATCCACCTACACAAACACAAAGAAAACGCCAGCCCTGCGACAATCACCGCGGAATATCACTGCTATCCATCGCAGGCAAGATCTTGGCCCAGTCCACCAGAACCGCCTGAATGCACATCTAGAGCTAGGTCATCGACTAGAAAGTCAAAGCGGTTTCCGCAAAGAGCATGGAACTATCGATTTGGTGATTGTTGCCAGACAGCTCCAAGAGAAATGTCAAGAACAAAATACAGACCTGTATTCCCCATTTATTGACCCGAATAAGGCTTTTGACAGGGTCAATAGAAGTGGCGTGTGGAAAATCATGAAGAAGTACTGATGTCCAGACAAGTTCACCACATTATCCGTCAGCTGCATGATGTCACGATGGTCCGAGTGCAGGACAATGGTCAGTCATCTCAAGCATTCCCTGTCACAAACGGTGTGAAGCAGGGCTGTGTCCTGGCTCTCACACTCTTCAGTGTGATGGTATGCTGCAATGCTGTCTGATGCTTTCAAGGACTTCATTACGAGCTTTTGAATCCGATTCCACACCGATGGATCAGTTTTCAAGCTTAGGAGGCTTCAAGTAAAACCTAGGTCAAACACCACCAACGAGCTTCTTTTAGCGGACGATTGTACCCGCAATGCAACACAGCGTTGATAAAGCGTTGAGGCTTGCAACAACTTTAGCCTCTCAATCAACACAAAGAAGGATGAAATGATGTATCAGCCAGCTCCAAGTAAGCCCTACATTGAACCCAGCATCATCATCAGCGGACAGCGTCTAAACTCAGGGGATACATTTAAATACTTGAGCAGCACCCTCTCCAGATCTGTCGTCATGGATGATGAACGCCAGACTCACAAAAGTTAGTGCAATATTTGGCAGACTACGCAGCACTGTTTGGGACAGGAGAGGTATCAGACGAGAAATGAATATCAAGGTCTATAGCGCAGCAATACTCTAGACATTGCTCTACGAATGTGAAACGTGGACAGTCTACCAGCGTCACGCCAAGAAACTAAATCACTTTCACAAAACCTGCCTCAGGAAACTCCTCGGCATCAGGTGGCAAGACCGACAGGAAGTCCAAGCTGGAGCGAACCTACCTAGCATCTTCACCAATCTGATGCGGTCTCAACTCCATTGGATGGGACACGTAGCCCATGTGGAAGACAACCAGCTTCTTAAAAAGTTTTTCATTTGGGATCTCACGCTAGGCAAGCGCTCCAAAGGAGGTCAAAAAAGTTTTACAAAGACGCACTAAGAGCGGCACTGAAGGCCTTCAGCATCAAACCTATTAAATTGGTGCAGACAGCCCAGGACAGAGTCAGGTGGAGATCAGCTGTCAAGAAGAGGGCTCAATGTCATGAAGCCACAAGGATAGCCACAGCTGATACACGCAGGCTAGCATGAAAAAGCAATCTTGGATCACCGACTACAGCAACTATTTCCTGTCCAGGGTGCCAGAGTCTATTCCGAGCACGGATCGGACAAGCACGCCACCTACGAAATCACTATGCCCCCCCCCCTCCACTTTTAACTGGATGACTAAATGGTCCTTGTCGACGTTGACGAACGAAGAACACAATGTTGCAATACTGCCATCGCCTTTATCACCATGAGGTCAATGACGTAAGTTGTAAAATCCCCCCTCCACCTCCCACTGACCTTCAAGTTACCGTAGATAAAGTTGAGTAAGTTGAAGGCCGCACTGTAACCGCAGTTGTTCATGTAGTTGTTGGAATGTAGGTCACCGCAAGAGCCGCCATAGTTGTTGGTGATCTGAGACATACATATGTGAACACATTATTTCAGCAAGGATAGATCATTAGGAAATGAGAATGGATAGTTCATAGGGCAATGATCGGGTGGATTGATTATAGCGCAATGTTAGAGTGGATCGATTATATGGCAGTAAGAGAGTAGATAAATTATAGGATAATGATGAGTTTTTAGAATAGACGCAAATGAGAGAATGTATAGATAGGAGGGGAATGATAGATTGAATAGAATAGACGGGCATTGCGTTAAGGACTTGTTTGTGTTTTGTGCTTGCGTGTTTGGTTCGGAGAGTATTTGGTCAGCTGTTGCCAAATGCTTTGTATTTTATGACGTTTTTGGGTAAGAGGAAGTGACGTCGTTGAATTGGGTTGTTATGGTGTGGAACGATAGCAGTGATAAAGTGTTCGATTTGTATGAGTTGTTGTATTATATTTAATAAAGAGACGTCTCTTCTACGAATCAATGGTTTGTTGAGTAATTGTAACCCCTAGACAACGAAGCTATTGAACTTCGTAATATCAGGTTGGTAACAATGAGAGAGGAGTGTAAAGGTGACAAACCTGTCCATGAGCTGAAGGAATGTTGTCCACTAGTTTAATCTGACTTGGACTATCAACATACAGGCTGTAGTAGTTCTTCAATAGCGGTCCGGCGGCTGGGGACACATTGAAATAATCCATCATAAGCTACCTATGCTAGCAATACCTTGCCCAACCGATCTATGCTAGTAATAGCTTACTAAGCCTACCCGTATTACCAACACCTGAGGCCACCTACCCTTACCACAAATATCTGAGGTCACCGTCTATACTGCCAATACCTGGGGCTAAAAACCTATATTACAAATACCTGGGGCCAACTACCTATATTACCAATACCTGGGGCCAACTACCTATATTACCAATACCTGGGGCCAACTACCTACATTACCAAGACCTGAGGCCACCTACCTATATTACCAAGACCTGAGGCCACCTACCTGGGTTGACAACTGTGTCATGTGTGCCAGCAAAGATCCAGATTTTATCATGTTTCATGTTGGTGGTCGAGTCGATGTTGAGGAAGAGACGAGCGGAGGCGGTCAAGGTTTGAAACTCAACGGCTGCCAGCAGGCCAGGTGTCGTCATACAGGCCGCAGACGGAGCGCACAGGAACGGCACTGTGGGGGTAGGGAAGTGAGAGGGTAGGGGAGAATCAAATGAAAGAGTAAACATATCTTTGTTTTAAACATAGATGTAGGGACAATTTTAAACATAGATGTAGCGACAATTTTAAACATAGATGTAGCGACAATGTTAAACATAGATGTAGCGACAATGTTAAACATAGATGTAGAAATAATTTTAAACATAGATGTAGCAATAATATTACGTGTAGATCTAGATGTAGCAACAATCGTTTAGTTTAAATGTAGCAACCATATTTAACATAAAGTACCTAAAGAATGTTTGTTGCAAAATACTAGTACCTCAAGGATGTTTGTTGCAAAAAGCAGGAACTAATAATCGCCTGCTAACTTGACATTTTGAAAATAAATACATTTGGTTGTTTTAAACATAAGCAGAAGTGACAATAGGGGTGTGCAGATCGCATCGGCGGCACCCTCACCGGTAAGGGGGAGGATCCACACAAAATGGAACATTTGACATAGCTTGACAAAGTCAGTTTCATAACAGGTCTAAGTTTTGATTCTAAGTTAAATACAAGAGCAGGGTGCCACTAGAGCAGGCTGCAATAAGAAAATGTTACCACCAGTGTAGGCTACTTACTGTACCAACTGTACCTACTGCACCTACTGTACCTATTGTACCTACCGTACCTATTGTACCTACTGTATCTCTTGTACCTACCGTACCTACTGTACCTATGGTACCTACCGTACCTATTGTACCTACTGTACCTACTGTACCTATTGTACCTACCGTACCTATTGTACCTACTGTATATCTTGTACCTACCGTACCTACTGTACCTATTGTACCTACCGTACCTATTATGCCTACTATACCTATTGTACCTACCGTACCTACTGTACCTATTGTACCTACTGTACCTACTGTACCTATTGTACCTACTTTACCTACTGTACCTATTGTACCTACTGTACCTACTGCCCTACTGTACCTAATGTACCTACCGTATCTACTGTACCTACCGTACCTACTGTACCTATTGTACCTACCGTACCTACTTTACCTGCTGTACCTATTGTACCTACTGTACCTACTGTACCTATTGTACCTACCGTACCTATTGTACCTACTGTATCTCTTGTACCTACCGTACCTACTGTACCTATGGTACCTACCGTACCTATTGTACCTACTGTACCTATTGTACCTACCGTACCTATTGTACCTACTGTATCTCTTGTACCTACCGTACCTACTGTACCTATTGTACCTACCGTACCTATTATGCCTACTATACCTATTGTACCTACCGTACCTACTGTACCTATTGTACCTACTGTACCTATTGTACCTACTGTACCTACTGTACCTATTGTACCTACTTTACCTACTGTACCTATTGTACCTACTGTACCTACTGCCCTACTGTACCTAATGTACCTACCGTATCTACTGTACCTATTGTACCTACTGTACCTACCTCCAGCGATGGCACCGACGCCCATGATCTCGGAAGAGAAAGCCACATGATATTGCACAGCCATTACTGCACCGGACGAAATACCGGAAGTGGATATCTTAGTCTTGTCAACCTTCAACACAGCTGCAAAACAGAACATGGATAGCATTTTAAGTGGCCATTTCTAGAATAACTATAGCGTTGTAACAGGCCATTTCTAGAATAACTATAGCATTTTAACTGGCCATTTCTATATTATTTTGACTAGTCATTTTTAGTGTAAATATAGTATATTGACTTACCATTTCTGGTTTAAACTATATTATTTTGACTGGCCATTTCTAGTTCGACTATAGAATATTGACTGGCGATTTCTAGAATAACTATACCAGTGTTTCCCAACCTTTTTTTTTTGCCATGCCCCACCTAGGCCTTTCTAAAAAAATTATCTCCCCCCATGTATCATATAAATAATTTTTAACATTCAAAAATATGGTTGTTCACTGAAGAAACTTAAATGATAGGTATTAGGAAGAAATCCAGAGGAAATTGGTCAGGAAACATAGTAAGTAAGTTTTTAAAACATTTAATAGAGAACTCAAATTCAAGCACGAAATCATTTTAATGAAATTGTTTCTATATTATTTTAATTATTAGTAATAATTTATTATTTAAAAATAGGGAGATGTTTGTGCTTGATGCTTGCTGCGAAGAGATTACATTTATGTTAGGCTCCAAATTAGTTTACTTTAGTCTCAAGTCTCCCCGTTGTATTAAATCCAGACGATTTCTTATATTTTTTTCCCTTCTTTTTTGTGTGTTTGTTCAACAAATAATTTATGCCATTAAATCCACATTCCGCTAAATATGAAGAGAGAAACGGTAGCAATAGTTTTCTTGCACATTTGGTTGAATTCGGAGATTTGATTTTTTCCCCCTCACAAAGCCAAGCCATCGCTCCTTTTATATTAAATAAAGTTTTAACTGACTCGTCATTTGGCATTTCTGCGAGTTCTTCCTAAAAATGGATGTTTGAAATATCAGAAAAATCCACGCACATTGTCTGTATCATCCAAGTTGGAAAATCAATTAGTTTCAAATCAGAAAATCTTTCTTTTAAATTATCCGATAGAAATTTCAGATGATCGACACTACCAAGTATAGCGGTATGAGTCACTTCACATTTGTGGAGCCAATGAAACTTTACAAAATTTGTGTTGTCAATAGTTTTCTGATGTAATTCAATAAATGTAATGAAACCAAATATATTCGCTTTTGCATCGACAAGAAATTTATTTGTTCCTTGAAGTTGGTTATTTAATATATTTTGTTTTTCAAAGATATCGGCCAAATAACTCACAAATGTTTTACCACCAACTGTTAACATATACATAACAGGCTTGTCATTTAAAAAATCGCAAGAATCAAATATTTCCATAAATCTTTACGACTAATTCTCTTTGGAAAGCCACCAAGTTTTCCCTATGAATAACACAATGCACGAGTAGCATTGCTGGATTCTCATCTTTCATCCATTTTAAGCATATTTTTCTTTCTCATCATACTATGAGAACCATATTCAGCACACGATGTTATATTTTTCATTGGTATATTATTGATATCTAAGTAATTTTTAGCTTATTATATTCTCTCTATCTTTGGCCGTACTGGCGCTTCCTAATGATTGACAGAACAGCTTTTCTTGAGCAAAATCTCCTTTGTATCAGGTCATCTTACGAAAGTTATCAATACAGCCTCACAGGCTTTCAAAGTTGATTCATCCATTTGCACTGAGAATTTTCTTGTTTTCAGCTTTCCAACAAGCTGCATTTCATATCTTCACTCACTTCGTCTAGTCTTCTGCTAACAACTTCGTCTAGTCTTCTGCTAACAGTATTGTTACTGAGTGGCCTAGCTTTCACGCCTTTGTCATCTTTTTCCAGAACCGTTTTAAGAAATGCTGATATTGATGGTTGGATTAAATTCTCTCCTATATTACGAATTTTCCCAGATTTGGCGATGAGTAAGGAAATTTCATAACTAGCCTCAAGAGTATGATCGACAGTTGCAGTATGAGCAGTAAATAGAGACGTTAATGTTGCCCTTTTTTCAAAATACCAGATGAATCATAGTAGACGGTTGGTTTTCAAATTCTTGACAGCTCATTTTCAAATTTCCCCAATAAATAATCAAATTGCCCACTTTAGGAAAAACGGAACTATAGTATTTGGACAGGCCATTTCTAGTATAACTATGGTATTTTGCATGGCCATTTCTAGAATATCTATATTATTTTGACTGGCCATTGATAGTATTTCCATAGTATTTTAACTGGCCATATCTAGTACCACTATAGTATTTTGACAGGCCATTTCTAATTAAACAGTTTATTTGTCCAACTTACGCAGACTCTGAGCCAGAACCGCCGTGTAGAAGTGTCCAACAAACAACATTAACACAAGTTGTGAGCACATTCTTCCTGTAGCCGTAGTCGATACAACAAGGGGAAACACGACTTTGGGGCTACTGGTCCCCGTCCTTTTATCTGGACTCTTATCTTTGGTCCAGCAGATAAGCGTCCCGATAACAGATCTTCTCCAGTAGATCTCACAGCATTTGTTTTCAGCTGACCCAGCTTTGACAATCACTCTGATGGAATTGTGTAGGAGGTAAGGCATACGGCTTTCCTCAGCCGACAACCCCACGTAATTTTGTTTAGGAAACCGTTTCTCCAATCGACTGGATAATAATAGCAGAATGAAACAAGAAAAGTGAATGTTACGTTAAATAAGATGTCACTAGGAGACTTAAAGTGCTGTGTTATTTTTCTATTTTAAGACTATTAAAAGACTATGTATGTGCGTATCGGGAAATTTCTTTCAAACAAATTTCCGGTAACCATGTATGTGTAGTACATGAACTCTGACCCTATGAACTCTGACACATCCGTGTACACAAATATCCGTGTGTTAGTAACTCTCCTTCCTGTAAGTGGAGGCATTATAAATAGCAAATAACATAAGTGACAATGTGTTGGTGTAAAAAAATAGCTGCTGATGTTCGTGAGGTCTTTTTCTTTCAGGAAAGACACGTAGTTTCATAGTCATTATTCTATCATTAACTCCCCTTGGAAGTCCAGCTATAATGCTAATCAGTGTAGATTGGTTAGAACAAACTAGCACCAGCTTCACAACGTCATACGTTTCCCCGGCCGCCCCAAAAGAAGGTATTCATCTAGATCTCCTCTCTCATAGTTCGCAAGCCTGGCCTCGCTGAGGGCTGCGATATCAACCTTGTACATGGCTAGTTCATTCCCGATACGGAATGTTCTCCTCTGAGGGCTGCGATATCAACCTTGTACCTGGCTAATTCATTCCCTATACGGGATGTTCTCCTCTGAGGGCTGCGATATCAACATTGTACCTGGCTAATTCATTCCCAATACGGGATGTTCTCATCTGAGGGCTGCGATATCAACCTTGTACCTGGCTAATTCATTCCCGATACGGGATGTTCTCCTCTGAGGGCTGCGATATCAACATTGTACCTGGCTAATTCATTCCCGATACGGGATGTTCTCCTCTGAGGGCTGCGATATCAACCTTGTACCTGGCTAATTCATTCCCGATACGGGATGTTCTCCTCTGAGGGCTGCGATATCAACCTTGTACCTGGCTAATTCATTCCCGATACGGGATGTTCTCCTCTGAGGGCTGCGATATCAACCTTGTACCTGGCTAATTCATTCCCGATACGGGATGTTCTCCTCTAAGGGCTGCGATATCAACATTGTACCTGGCTAATTCATTCCCGATACGGGATGTTCTCCTCTGAGGGCTGCGATATCAACCTTGTACCTGGCTAATTCATTCCCGATACGGGATGTTCCCCTCTGAGGGCTGCGATATCAACCTTGTACCTGGCTAATTCATTCCCGATATGGGATGTTCTCCTCTGAGGGCTGCGATATCAACATTGAACCTGGCTAGTTCATTCCCTATACGGGATGTTCTCCTCTGAGGGCTGCGATATCAACCTTGTACCTGGCTAAATCATTCCCGATACGGGATGTTCTCCTCTGAGGGCTGCGATATCAACATTGAACCTGGCTTGTTCATTCCCTATACGGGATGTTCTCCTCTGAGCGCTGCGATATCAACATTGAACCTGGCTAGTTCATTCCCTATACGGGATGTTCTCCTCTGAGGGCTGCGATATCAACATTGAACCTGGCTAGTTCATTCCCTATACGGGATGTTCTCCTCTGAGGGCTGCGATATCAACATTGTCCCTGGCTAGTTCATTCCCTATAAGGAAGTTTCTCCTCTGAGGGCTGCGATATCAACATTGTACCTGGCTAGTTCATTCCCTATACGGGATGTTCTCCTCTGAGGTCTGTCCACGTTATCCTTGTCCTGAAAACTCTTCAGTAGGATGGTTTTGGTCTTTTGTTTTGACATCATTATGCTTTTTTTTGAGGCTGCATTTGAATTTCGAAAAAAATTATAGGGCTCCCTCCAACTGTCGTAGGTTGAATATGGAAAGATGGAGCAGACAATGTTTAGGACAAGTTCTCTAGCTCCTTTTTTATGCCACGGAGCGGAGCAGTGTACAAGGTTATAGTCCGTGTTAGGTAAGAAAGTGAACTCACACCCTTATACATGAGTTGACCGCATTGCCAGTAAGGGTAATGATAAAACTCAAACCCTCTGGCATGATTTGACCGCATTGCCAGCAAGGGTAATGATAAAACTCAAACCCTCTTACATGAGTTGACCGTATTGCCAGCAAGGGTAATGATAAAACTCAATCTCTCTGGCATGATTTGACCGCGTTGCCAGCAAGGGTAATGATAAAACTCAATCTCTCTGGCATGATTTGACCGCATTGCCAGTAAGGGTAATGATAAAACTCAAACCGTCTGGCATGATTTGACCGTATTGCCAGTAAGGGTAATGATAAAACTCAATCTCTCTGGCATGATTTGACCGCATTGCCAGCAAGGGTAATGATAAAACTCAAACCGTCTGGCATGATTTGACCGCATTGCCAGTAAGGGTAATGATAAAACTCAAACCCTCTTACATGAGTTGACCGTATTGCCAGTAAGGGTAATGATAAAACTCAAACCCTCTGGCATGATTTGACCGCATTGCCAGCAAGGGTAATGATAAAACTCAAACCCTCTTACATGAGTTGACCGTATTGCCAGTAAGGGTAATGATAAAACTCAATCTCTCTGGCATGATTTGACCGCATTGCCAGCAAGGGTAATGATAAAACTCAAACCCTCTTACATGAGTTGACCGTATTGCCAGTAAGGGTAATGATAAAACTCAAACTCTCTTGCGTGAGTTGACCGTATTGCCAGTAAGGGTAATGATAAAACTCAAACTCTCTTGCGTGAGTTGACCGTATTGCCAGCAAGGGTAATGATAAAACTCAAACCCTCTTACATGAGTTGACCGTATTGCCAGTAAGGGTAATGATAAAACTCAAACTCTCTTGCGTGAGTTGACCGTATTGCCAGTAAGGGTAATGATAAAACTCAAACTCTCTTGCGTGAGTTGACCGTATTGCCAGCAAGGGTAATGATAAAACTCAAACCCTCTTACATGAGTTGACCGTATTGCCAGTAAGGGTAATGATAAAACTCAAACCCTCTGGCATGATTTGACCGCATTGCCAGTAAGGGTAATGATAAAACTCAATCTCTCTGGCATGATTTGACCGCATTGCCAGCAAGGGTAATGATAAAACTCAAACCCTCTTACATGAGTTGACCGTATTGCCAGTAAGGGTAATGATAAAACTCAAACCCTCTTACATGAGTTGACCGTATTGCCAGTAAGGGTAATGATAAAACTCAAACTCTCTTGCGTGAGTTGACCGTATTGCCAGTAAGGGTAATGATAAAACTCAAACTCTCTGGCGTGAGTTGACCGTATTGCCAGCAAGGGTTATGATTAAAAAATATTTTATGAATAATAATATAAATACAAGTCATAAGTTTATAAAATTCATCTTTTGAATAATCTCAGTGTCTGATAATTTGATGTGCTGAAATAAATTACTGAGCTTTGAGCATAATTGTAAGTTATTGTTAGTTATCAATATTAGTATGGAATAGTCAACAATGTTCTAACAATTGTTTAACTTTATATCTTTGTATATTCATGACGTGCTCACGAATTAAGCACCAATACCATATATGGCATGACAAACACACATAATTGACACAGTCCAATTTCCTAAAGGGGGGGGGGAGTATGGTTTCGACCACTCAGGGGGTGGGGTGGGGTAGACACCCACGCTGTGGGGGGTGAATGTATGGGTGTGTGGGTTGTGTGTATTTGTGTGTGTGTCTGTATGTATGTATTTGGGTGTTTGTTTTTGTGGATTTATTGTAAAAATTGGTTAGAACTTTGTCCCTATCACCAATGAACTGTTCCGTAGTCTAAGTGAAGGTAATTCTTTCAGAAAATAAAGCTTTGTATAACTAGTTCTATTTACTATCACTACGACAATGGTTACAACGCCATAGATAGGTCCCGTCATAAAAGGTTAACACAGGCCTTATCTCAAGGCTTTGGCTGGGAAGACCTTGACATTCTATACACGAGATGGTAGGTCAAAGTACTTATGATGCTAATTTTAGACACTTTGTCCAGGATACAAAACAAAAAAAAAAAGAATTTAAGGGCAGTTCTAACAGGGCCGGCATCTGATACAGGCAAAGGTCTAACAGGGCCAGCATCTGATACAGGCAAAGGTCTAACAGGGCCGGCATCTGACACAGGCCAAGTTCTAACGGCTGGCATCTGCAACAGGCAAAGTTCTAACTGCCGTCATCTGGAACAGGCCAAGTTCTAACGGCTGGCATCTGGATCAGGCAAAGTTCCAAAGGCCGGAATCTGATACAGGCAAAGTTCTATCAGGGCTGGATCTGGTAAAGGCAAATATTTACGGCCGGAAGCTGGTACAGGCAAATTTCTAATGGCCAGAATCTTGTTCAGGCAAAGTTCTAACAGGGTCGGAATCTGGTACAGGCAAATTTCTAACGGCCCGAATCTGGTACAGACAAATTTCTAACGGCTGGAATCTGCTACAGGCAAATTTATAATAGGTCCGGAATCTGGCACAGGAAAAGCTCTAACGGTCGGAATCTGGAACAAGCACATTTTTAAAAGGGTCGGAATCTGGTAAAGGCAAATTTCTAACAGGTCCGGAATCTGGCACAAGCAAAGCTCTTACGGCCAGAATCTGGTGCAGGCAAATTTCTAACAGGTCCGGAATCTGGCACAGGCAACGTTCTTACAGCCAGAATCTGGTGCAGGCAAATTTCTATCAGGTCCGGAATCTGGCAAAGGCAAAGGTCTAACAAGACCGGCATTTGGTAGAGGCAAAATTCTAGAAGAGTCGGCATTTGGTGGAAGCAAAGTTCTGCAAGGGCCGGCACTTGGTACAGGCAAAGTTCAAGCAGGACCGGCATTTGATAGAGGCAAACATCTGCGAGGGCCGGGATTTGGTACAAAGTTCTAGCAGGGCCGGCTTCTGGTACCGACAAAGCAGACAATTGTCTTGTTTGACAACTTCTAGGGGCCTCATTTTTATCCGAAAAAAAATATTTAAATTCTTTCACGCAAATTACATTTGAAATAATTATAGAAGAACATTGAGTTGCTCGAATCCTCTGTGAGATTCCTTTCGACAACCAACGATGGCTAAGTGGTATAACAGTTGCTAATTAAATGAAACAGTTGGACATCCCAAGAAAAAATCGTCAAAAATTGTGGAGCTGATGGAAACCATGAGTTACGTTTAGTACCGCGTCAGAAGTGCTGCCCTCCTGTGTCCCTGGGCTGCCCTCCTGTGCCCCTGTGCTGCCCTCCTGTGCCCCTGTGCTGCCCTCCTGTGCCCCTTGACATGTTTGTCACAGAGAAAGAGTGAGTGGTTTAAACTAAGGTAACGCCAATACTTTGTGTATGAGAGAGAGAGAGAGAGAGAGAGAGATTGAAAGAGAGAGA